CTCTATCTTAAATAATGCAAACTTAAATAATGTTATTAACATTAGTTAACACATCGCTCAGGAACTTACTATTATAACTGGTTATATTCATATTGTTATGCGCGTATAGATTTGAATATCCCCACTACTGGTCACTTGACCCTTTTAGTTTCAATTTTTCTATCTCAGAGGCATTTTTTTTTAAATCATGGGCCGGTATTCATAGTCAGTTCTTAAATTCAAGACCGTCTTAAGTTCAGTCTTGAGAAGTTACGAACCAATCAGAGGGCCGCTTTAGCATCTTAAGACATTACTTAAGACAGTCTTGAAATAAACCGAACCGAAAATAGAACCGACTGAATACCGGCCATGGACATAGGGAAGATTCGAACCAAAAATCTTGGACATTACCGACACGATCTTGGACATTGTCTACATAGTTCAATGTTTACGTTTTGTGGACATAAGTGGTATTTCAAAATAAAGTAACAGCTAAATCCCGGGCATGGCCGCTCTCAGGCTTCTCTCTGGGAAAAAGTATGAAATTACAGATATCTTTATCCATTTTTATCTTCAGCGTTGGTCGCCATACTGGATATCTTACGGTAATTATGATTTTATCGACAGGGTCAGAAAGTGGATGCAACCACGTAGTGACGTAGTATCTAAATCAAAAATGGACGTACTTGCGACAGTATACGGATGATTTTTCAACACATGTGAATACATGTGCACACGAAAAACGCTCGAATCATCGAATTCGTCTCAGACAGAGCTCACTGGTCGTAAACGATTTTGTCGTTGATATTTAGTTTATAAAATGGAAAGTTTGTGAAAGATTGTAAAAGATGGTCATAGCGATTGGATTCGAAGGTAGTGCGAATAAATTGGGTGTAGGAATAATTCGCGATCAACACATATTATCGAACGTACGACATACCTATGTTACTCCACCAGGAGAAGGTAAAATCTTAAAGTAATATTTTATGTAAATGCTCTCAAATATATTTTAAATATTTTATATTCATTAAAACATAGATAATCATTAGGCTCATATAAATAAATTAAAAAACAATATAATAAAATGCCACTATGAGCCGGCACAAGTTTATTAGTGTGTATTTTTTATATACATAAAATTGGCTCACATTGGCATTTTATTATATTGTTTTTGGATTTATATTTCAATATTAATGCAACAGTTACTTCTTGCATTAATATTATTTTTGCTTTCTATTTAATTTGTACCATTACATGTTCATATTACAAACTAATTCCAATTATACTTTTATAATTAGAAGAAAAGGTGAAGAGAGATTTACATATTTAAATAAAGTTAAATTGTACAATATTTTGATTTTATAAACAGTGAAGTGTTTAACTCAGCTATCCTTTTTTAATATAGTTGAATTTATATTTTATATATGATATATGTTATTTATTTTTTTGCCTAATTTTTATTATTCATTTATTAAAAATGCTATCAATTAGAACTTAATTTAATACTGTATTGTAAAAAGAGAGTAATAAAAATAGAAATCGTCTGTTTTATAAGATATAGATTATTTAGGTATTTTTTAAATAAAATTAATTTATTAATTATTTCTTAAACTTTTTTTAATAGATATATTTTATAATATATTCACGAAAGTTCTAAATGCTTACAATGTATAAATTATATTGATATGCAATCTAGATATGTTTTCACATTAGGTTTTCTACCTCGAGAAACAGCTGAACATCATAGAAAATATATATTACAAGTTTTACAAGAAGCCTTACATGATGCAAAAATTAATCTGAAGGATGTAGATATAATTTGTTATACAAAAGGACCAGGAATGGGAGCACCATTGACGATTACTGCTGTAGTGGCTAGGACTGTTGCTCAATTGTACAATAAACCTATAATCGCAGTTAATCATTGCATTGGCCATATTGAGATGGGACGTTTAATTGCTGGTACTGAAAATCCCACTGTTTTGTATGTTTCTGGTGGAAATACTCAAGTTATTGCATATTCTCAACAAAGATATCGTATCTTTGGTGAGACAATTGATATAGCAGTTGGAAATTGTCTGGACAGATTTGCAAGACTTTTAAAGCTCTCAAATAATCCTTCCCCTGGATATAATATAGAGCAGTTAGCAAAAAAGCAAGTAAATTTTTATATGATCACTATTTGGTCTCAATATAAATATTAATTTTAAATTTATGCTTAAATTTATACTGGAATCAAATAAATTTTATGTCAAAAGAGGTGAGAAACTGGTACTGCTACCATACGTCGTGAAAGGGATGGACATATCATTTTCTGGTATTTTAAGTTACATGGAGGAACATCTTTCTGAATGGCTTGATACAAAAGCATTTACTCCTGAAGATTTATGTTTCTCTTTGCAAGAGACTGTATTTGCCATGCTCATCGAAGTTACAGGTAACTTGAAGTAGATCATTTTTTTCTTTTATCCTTTTTTGTTTTTTTTTATATTGAGTAATATTGTAGAGCGTGCAATGGCACATGTTGGATCAAATGAGATATTGATCGTGGGTGGTGTGGGATGCAATGAAAGATTGCAGCAAATGATGTCTATCATGTGTAAGGAAAGGAATGCAACTCTTTATGCGACAGATGAACGGTTCTGCATAGACAACGGTGTTATGATCGCAGTTGCTGGTCTGCTTCAATACAAAAGCAAGGGTGGTATTCCTTGGACACAAACTACTTGCATTCAAAGATATCGAACAGATGATGTACATGTCTCCTGGAGAAAATAAAACTATTTTTAAGGAAATTTTTTTGTTGAGGTATTTAAAATATAATATATTTCAATAATTTAAACTTCCCCATTATCACGATATAATAATATATTGATTCAATGTTATAAAATATGTTTAGAATTTAATTCACAATTTACTTTATGCCAGAATGTTTTATTTTAAATTCCAATAAAAGTAACGAAATTATTTTAAAATGAAACAGATTATATTTAGAATATGTATACAATGCAAGAACTATTTAATATAACTGCTGCATATTTTAATTTTTCACCAGCAATATTATTCTAAGATATAGTCGATTTTTTATTTTGAAGTTTAAGAAAATTGATAGATACCCCTAATCCTTAGATCTAACCTTAACATGTCTCTAAAGCCCATTCTACAATTGCGTAAGTGTAGTTGTACGAATTAATCAATCACAGTAAAATACGAAAAAATGTTCAACTGTCAATTCTTACAACTACAACCGCTTACAACTACGTTTACGCGATTGTAGAATGGGCTTAACTTAACGAAGGGAATACATATTTTTAAGCCCTATGTTCATGGTACTAGAACTCTGTCCAACTGTTCTCGAACTGAGGAATGCATATTCAATTAATTTGCTGTTTTTCCATAAAAATTGATTACACGTTGATTAACTACACATTTCTAGATCCAAGAACTTGGACTGTATTCTAGCACCGTGGATACAGGACTTTAAGTCGGCGCACACGGTGCTTGTTTTCCTGCCGGATTGCTGGTTGGAAGAATTTTTTTTTAATTTGCAATTTTTGTTTTTTTATAATAAGAAACTATTAAAATATTTACATATAATTTATTAGAGTAAACATGAAAATAATCTCCACATATACATACATTTCTTGTGTCAGATTTTAATCAATGTTTGATTCAAAATTTTATTAAACATTCAAGAGAAAATCTTCAAAAAAGTAAAAAACAAAAATAGCTTTGATTTTACAGAATTCTAAGTTGTTGATTTTCATATAGCATATACAATAAGTTCTGGTTTTTATTGAATTTATCCCCATATTAATTTTAATTATTTTAATTATTTTATTTCAACATTTATATTAATAGGTTTTTTAAAGAATATGTAATATATATCGGTTGTATGTACATGTTCGTTCAATATTATTTGCAAATGATTAGTAATACATGTAAGTAGTTGCTAAGAATTTATTGCTGTAAATTATTCGCGTATTTCCGTATACATAATCTTCTAAAATATGTCTTATGATGTGCAGTAATGTGACTTGCACATAATAATTATCTAGTTATGTGGCTAGTTATGTGTCTTCCAAGAGAGAGAGTTTCCTTTCGATCGTTTTAATACTGACACTATTGAGATATTGTATTGATCGGTTTATTAACTGTATATACGAAACGTTTTCTTGACGTACGTACGTTTTATTGATTTGATCCTAAGAATTGGCAAATGGGAGAATATCACTTTACAAAGTGGTTGAGTCAAAAAAGATATTTGAATAGGGGAGAAATAGAAATGGATACATTAATTGAACTTGATTAATTGTTTTTCATGGAACGCTATACAAGCGAAATCAGTACGTGATTTTTTTTTAAATCACGTAATTTAAAAAAATCACATAATGATATGTTTTTTTCTCTTTATTCCTATTATTTAATTCTTTAAAATTCGTTAACTATAAAATCACATAACAGATGATATTATTTCCAATAACATAATTTTTCAAATTGCGTGATTTGAAAAAATAAAGTAATAATTTGGAACAATCTATTATGTAATTTACTTGTTTTAATTACATGATTTCGTTATGTAACTTCGTGATGTGATTTTTTTCAGTAGGGCAGAGTAAAGTGGGGAGCACCCTCTTGCATAACGCGTGAGACATAAGAAATTCAACCAATCGAAGTTTTTCATTTTATGGAAAGGAAGGAAACGAAGGACTTTGATTGGTTCATTTTCTTATGCGTTACGTGTTAAGCCTATCGCACATGAGATGCATAATAGAGCACGAGCATAACATAAAACTGTTGGACCAATAAGCCAGCATAAAGTTGCCATATTAATTAACATAAAATACTCATTGGTCCAGCGGTCTTATGTTATGTTTATGCACTGTTATTGCATTTCATGTGTTTTAGGCTTTATGCGTTGTACTAGAGTCTGTGCTTCCCGCTTAACTCGGGATAATCGTCGAGGCAGGCGCACCCGCGCACTACTGGCTTGCGTCCAAGCCTCTATCGGCATCAACGAACAGTATAGTGGCAGAGACTGTACCATCACCTCCACTCAAAAGCAATCAACGGCAATAGATAGTAGTAAAAGTACGGTGGTTGAATAATTTAGAAGCTTTTCGGCTTGTTTCACAGCTTCTTCTCTTTTGTCACTTGACTGATAGAGCTGTGTGATGTATCAGTAACGACGAAGTGATCATTTCTGTCGGATAACCAAAGGTTGGTCGTTTCTCCTGTTTTTTTTAAATATATTTTCTTCGTTCTTTTGTTAAATGTTCTCCGTTATTCAAGTATCCGAATCCTAATACGATCTATCCGGAAAAGTAAAAATGTCATGCACCCTCGCATTTGTACCCTAACGCGCGCAATTGTGCCATAGCTTAATCGATAAGCACATAAGGTGTCGATTGCAGCGCCCGGTGGAAAAAGTGGTAGATAGTACTAGTGCTATCATCGTCATTATCGTTGTTATCATTATCGTCATCATTGTCAATATCGTCATCACTGGTATTGCCGTCATTATTAATTGTTGTCGTCGTCATTGTTTCGTTATTGTCATTGCTCTCGCCATCGTTATCGCCATTATTGCCATTCATGTCGTCATCAGTCATTGTTGTCGTCATTATCGTTGTCACGTCGTTACTGTCATTATTTCATTATTGTCATTTCTATCATTATTCACGTCATCGTTATTATTATTATTATTGTTATAGACATCTTTGTTGTTATTACTATCATTTATCCCTATTTATCATTTTGTTATTATCGCAGATGTGTGACCTTGTCAGGGCCGCGTGACGAAACACCCCGTGAATACGATATTCTAGTATAATGCACGATGACGCGTTTCTTCGACCAAACGGCGGTCATATTTGAAGCTGAAGGAAGAGAAAGGTGAGTAGATATACATACATATGGAGATCAATGCTTTCAATGCTACTTGCTTTGCATACATCTCTCTTTTGTCTATTTTTGTATCAAGAGATACGGTATAGTGTCTTGCAGTTCTGAAGAACCACTTGACTGCGGCGCACGCGTTTCGGATCGCTTGTCAATTAAATATTTTTGATAGTGTTGCCGACTTTGACTGTACATAGCTTCTCCCTGATGATTGTTTCGCGACTCGTTCATTCGTCCTGATGCGCGTTATTGCAGCGTGACAACGTAGACACAGGCGCTCGGTGTTCGATATCGGACTACGTTATTTTCGCGGGAATTGTATCACCTTTTGTATTCCAACAAGACATGATCTGGCCGTATTGCTACCGCTTACTCTAGGTAGGAGCCCGAGCAGGAGCCATTAACTATTAATGCCTGTTTCCACCAATGCAGATTAACTTTAATCTCGGTTTAACTTACTGTTAATCTTTTTCTAATTTTTTGAATTAGAAAAAGATGAAGAGCAAATTGAACCAAGATTAAAATTAATCTGCATTGGTGGAAATGGGCATAAGAAGAAGAAGGTAGTGTCTCGCGCCGAGTGAACGCGCAGCGTGAAACGCACTGTGCCCCTTTTACGCGAGTCGGCAAGTTGCGAGAGTATTGGACATTGGACCTCAATAATGGTTGGACCGATCAAGTTCTATACGTATGCTCAATCGATAGCCACCGCTCAGGTTGTGTAATGAAAGTGCTTTTATTTTCTTTTTCTACGTGCTCTATGAACGGAGATATCGCGATGCAAAATCTAAAATGTTTATAAAATTAAGATTCATAGCGTTTTTTTTTGGCTGCACTATCGCCCACCAGTGCAACACTCAGACAGTGTAGCGTGTTTCCTTGGCTGGTGGTAGGCGAATTCATTCAAGTGTAACATGTTTCCGTGGCTACTGGTCGCGTTCAACAGACTCAACAGTTTTACAACTGTTTTATGATTCTTTGTTGAGATAGGACTATTCCTTTAGATCTAAAAGTATAATTCAATCAGAGAGACTAATCATAAAACGGTTGCAAAACTGTTGAGTCTGCTGAACGCAGCCAATGGTTACGTTCAGCAAGCGCAACAGTTGCACAACGGTTCATTGAAAAGCTGCTGAATGCACTGTTATTAGTGCCCGATACGCAACGTGTTTACTGAACGGTCATTTTTTCTATCATATTTTAAGACTGCTACCTGAGCTCAACATGTCGGTTGTGAAACATATATAAGCAATATAATCTAAATAGACATATTGGCTGCGTTCAGGAGACTCAACAGTTTTGCAACCGTTTTATGATTCATCTCGCTGATTGGATTATACTTTTAGATCTAAAGGAATAGTCCTATCTCAGCAAAGAATCATAAAACAGTTGTAAAACTATTGAATCTGCTGAACACAAGTGTAGTGCAAATTTTATGCACGAAGTGGGATTTTGTTTCGGTCTCAAAAAGACGGTATAGAGCCAGTGTAACATTCAAAATAAATTTGAAAATGGAAGTCAACTGGCAGCAGGATTAAACACGATAGCATGAAATAGTGTATACAGTGTACGTATGTACACCAGATGTATAAGATTGCCAGAAAATCGGATAGAAAGAAGGAGAGCCGAGCAGAGCGAATAGTAAACACGTCCGAATTCAACGGCGACCGACACAAATCTCTTATTCGCAACTAAAAATAATTTTAATCATTTATAATGGTTATTTATAAGCAGAATCATTTTAAGAGAAATATAATTGTTATGCTACAATTTTTTGTATTTTGGTTATAACAGTTACGGCCTCTGTCGAATTCGATTGTCGGCTCCATCATTATGTTTAATCATAACAAGTCACTTTTTAAGCAAATTAACGATTTTATTGTGCCTTGATATGGCTTTTTTTAATAGCTATATGAACGTATGTTTGATAGCTAGCCTCAGAGCATGTGCAGTGACATGTTCACTAATTTTATTGAAGTGCATTGGATCCAGTGTACATACCACTAATAGAGGAATCTTGTAATTTATATTATATAATTTAAATAAATATAAATTTTCGGTATTATATGTATAGGTAGATAAATAGTACAAATAGAACATAATATTTCTCTTAATTTATCATTTTATATTGAGAAGCCGAAATCAAGAAATTCAGAATTGTGCGCAATAAGTTTCTGCACAAATGATCGAGCTTGATGCTTCTATGTAACGACATCTGAATCTGTGTCTATTTTTTTTGGTAGAGGAGCTATCTGATAGAGGGAAAGGGAAACTCATATATACATATATATATATAAATGTACATACATATATTATATATATATATATATATCCACGCATACACCATACAATGCAAAGTGAAATTCCACATGAGTTTCCAACTTTCCACATAAAATGTAGTAAGCGAGTCAAGCTTATCTTTATATAGTCAAATAATTCTTTTGTTAATAACTTTTTGACAAAATAACGAGCAACGATTAAAACCTTCTGTAGATCATTCAGGGTCAGGATTTTAACAATATATGTGAGATGATTTTTGAGGTGATATTGAAGTTGATTCTCTTATACCAAATATTTATTGTTCATGTATGTACAACATAATAATATGTGCGCCTCGATGATTTTTTTTTTTTCAGATAATGACATTGCTGAATCGATCGACCGGATCAATGAAAGGAATCGAACGGATTTACGAATGAAGTTGAAAAGAAACACTGTGGACAAAGAGAAGGAGGATGAAGAAGAACACAAGATAGAAGTCATTCATCCAATATCAGATAAACAAACAAGAACATTGATGTTAACACTGTGAAAGATAACTACTTTGCAATCGCGTTGGTGGTCAACAACTTGAACTTGTCGTCACTTCGTGTGTCCGATGCTGAACGAAAGACTTGAGGTGGACAATACACTGATGGACAGGGAACGTAATGATAGTGCCGTGGTTACCGGTCCGACATTTCCATCGTGTACAGTGCCCTTCACTGGTACCGACCAGGACTACGTGTTCGAAGGTGGTGGTATGTCGATGTTGCAGCAGTTTGGTGCAGGCGGTCGCGGAAACATCGACTGCATTAGTGGAGGAGATCTTGGATTCAATGCATCGATAGGAGGAACGGGGACTGGGTTAGGTAGTGAGATAGGATTCGGTGGAATCAGTACTGAAGGAACTGCGGGAGGATTTGCAGCAATGGGTGGAAAAGCAGCAGGAGGAGGAGGAAGCGGTAGCAACATGAATAAGGAAGTTCGTTACGCTCCATTCGTGTCATCTGTAGGTCTAATCAGTACTGTAGCGCCAATAAATCTGCAGTCTTTACCGCCTCCGCCGCCGCCCCCACCACCGCCGCCACCGCCGCCACCACCGCCTTCGCCACCGCCCCTGCCGCTGCAGATGCAACAGCAGCGTGCCTTTTCGAAGTCGATGACATCCCTACCACCGGAGCCATTCATGATAATGCGTTCGAAGGCTTTAAATCGACGCGTTTCAATTAATGTTGGTGGCGTGAAGCACGAGGTACTCTGGCGTACTCTCGAGCGGTTGCCACATACGCGCCTAGGTCGACTAAGAGACTGCAATACTCATGAGGCAATAACTGAACTCTGCGACGATTATTCTCTAATCGACAATGAGTATTTTTTCGATCGACATCCTAAATCATTCAGTTCAATTCTTAATTTCTATCGTACTGGCAAGCTCCATCTAGTAGATGAGATGTGCGTGTTAGCGTTTAGTGATGATCTCGCATATTGGGGTGTTGATGAGCTTTATCTTGAAAGTTGTTGTCAACACAAGTATCATCAACGTAAGGAGCACGTACACGAGGAAATGCGCAAGGAGGCAGAGTCACTTCGACAACGCGAAGAAGAAGAATTCGGTGAGGGAAAGTGCGCTCAATATCAGAAATGGTTGTGGGATCTTTTGGAGAAACCAACCACCTCTATTGCGGCACGGGTGAGTCGGATTGTGGCTTGAAAACCGATTTGCGCGTGTATGATTATGCGACAGAAGACAATGCACATGAGAAACGTCGCGCATCGTCACCTGCTCTATCGTGTATGCATTTAGTCAGGATGTCTTATTATTAGTTAAAACGGAAGCAGTAGTTCATGCTACTATATTCATATATATGAGTCATCAGTTATTTTATCTTTTATAATTCTTGAAGCATAATCGCAGGTATTTATATTCTTTTCTTTCTATTTTTTGACTCTTATTGTTGTTCTTCTTGTGATGCGTTTGATTTCATCTCACATTATTTTATTATACATTTACTAGTTTCAACTTGATGTTAATTTTATTTATTTTCTCATTCTCAGTAGGGTATACTTATGTAACCACACAAATGTGATGTAATGTTGTATAAATTATTAATATTTAATCGTATAAATAATTAATATTGTTTTTTTATATAACTACAAAAATTTTTGTTTCAACTATAATTTAAAAAGGAATTAATTTTACGATTTAAGTGCTAATTAATTTTTAAGATAATTATGTTAGGAAGTATTTTAAGAAAAAATTAATGTTATTTTTAACAGTCAAATTATTAGAGTATATTGGAAAACTTTTAATATCCATTTTGATGATCCAATTTTTATAAAACATTTCATAAATCACGATTTATCATGAGAAAAAAATTTTGAATTTAAATCTTAGATTGAATCGTCAGAACAAAGACACGGAATTCGCGACATCGATTAGTTTAAATTATTAGACATCATTAATCAAATCACTAAAAATATCATTATCTAAATATTTTTGTAATGTAAACAAGTGGCGATTAAAAATACATTAAAAATATCAGTAATTTCAAATTTAATTAGTAGCTATTTAAATGTTTATCTTTAATAGAAAGTCACTATTTTGGCTGTGTTCCAAGTTTACTGTCAACGTTAAAAATCTACAATTGTATTTATGTTACGTACACTATAGATTTTCAGTGCTGGCAGTCAATTTTGGAACATTCTTTGATGTAAGAAATGTATTTTTGTATTGTTGTATTTTCGTACTGTGGTACTATCTGATTTATTTTCTAACTGAATTCCATTAAATGTATTCTATCTTTATTTAAGAAACATTGAAAAAATAATCAAATTAGTTATGTTTTTCATAATGTTATTTTTCAATATTTGGACTGATTGCATTGACGATTTCGATTATTTGACAATAATCAGATTAAAAAATTAATTCGCTGTATCAAATTATCGTTATAGATAAATGTATTGTGTGATATATTATTATAAATTATATAATATAAAATTTATGTTTATACAATATCTTTTTAATGTTTTAAATGGTAAATTTATTGTTTATTTATATGTATGTATTTATGTTATTCTACTGTTTCACTTACAAAGAAAGGATTCCAGCTATTCTCCTCTGATTTTAATGAAATTTAAGGAAGAAATCAGCCCGTATTTTTGTTTTTCGGCTGTAACTTTTGAACGAAGTATAATAGTGTAATTTCGTAAATATATACAAAATATACAAAATTGGAAAACTATTCTTACAAGAAACAAGTCCTTCTCGTGACGGAGCTGTGTATGAAAATAATAAATCTTGCGCGATTTCTGCTGCCAATTTGTCGTCAACTTCTGTCAGCAGGCTCTACTCGCAATCTGCTGTCAGATTATGTCAGCATATATTGTCGCCAAATCCATAGCCAAATACGGACGCAGATGGCTACGGTTTTGTAACCAAAATTTGATTTAGTTTGCTGCTAATTTGCGCGCAAACATATTGATATCAAAGAAGTTATCATGCTTAGCGCGCGCTTACTAGGCAATCCCCGTGCGACAATCCCTAAGTGATCGCGATCGATGAGTGTATAGACTTGGCGGTATAGTCCGCGCAAATACATGCAAAATCCATTTTATCTGCATATATTTTTTAAAATAACTATATATTTTCTTTACATAATGTATCATTCAAACATTATAGCCGAGAAATGAAAATTTAGCCGATCTTCGAGGACGAATTTCATTTTTTAAACATGTTTGGTTGCCGATAAAAAAATATATGTCGGATATTCCGTCCTTTCTACAAATTCATCAAGTTTCATTAAAATTGAAGAGGGACATATTTGGAAGCAAAAACTGAGCTTCCCTCGTCTGTTCTTTACTCCTGCACTACCTGAATTGATGCACACGGTACGATAAGTTCAGGTAGTGCAAGAATAAAAAACCAAGGCCCTAGTTTGACAAACAGTAATCTATATTATATTATTATTTTATGTACAATTAATTTAAAGCATATAATTGAACTGTAGAAGACATCATGTTTGTTTTGTGGTTTTTTTACTGTTAAAAAATATTTTATTCTATGAATTGTTTGTTTTATTGAATACATAAGCTGTAGACGTTATTATACTTTTGTATATTTTTGAAATGTATATTTAGTTACAATAAAAAACATTTTTTTTAATTGAGAGAGATATGTATATTATAGTTTTCGATCCGTATTGTCTCAAATTAAAAATAGTGAGTTGGGATTAATTGTTATACCTCGATCGAGAAAGGTTATTACAGTGTAATAATTTAGTCTGTGTCTGAAATTGATAAATTAATAATTTAGATAGATATTTAATAAGCGATTCAAGAAAAATTCTATATTAATATATTTTTATAAGTTTTATTAGTTTTGTATCCTGAAACTAATATTTTATGTGAAGTATTTTCAGTTTGTTTGTATCATAATCTTGAATTTGTTTCATTTGTACGTTTATATGTTTAAAATAATATTGTAAAAATAACAATTGTTTCAGCTTAGTTACAACTTGTTCTAGTGGAATAAATTATTATAGTTTAGGTACTATTGATATGGAAAATTTTAATTTTCAATGTTCAAAAGCATTGATACTTATTAGAAAAAAATTGACTGGTTAAAGATGTATTTGAATTAATATATAGGTATTTATTGACTTAATGTTACGTTAGTCTGGAAAAAATTCTGATAAAAAATTGTCTGATAACAACTAGTCCCAAGTCTCTCCTATACATACGTACACGCACATGCAAATTCACGCATATCTATATCAAAGAGAAGATGACTTTAATATAAACAGATAATTTTTGGAGAAATTATTAACAAAAGTGTTTTAAAAAATTAACAGGAAAAAAAACAAAATTATAGTAAGTAAAACTACATTGCAATGTGAATAACATATAAATAAATTGGGAAAACATTGCATTTTATTATTATAAAAACTGTACTATGCTATTTAAAATACAGATTCCTTTTGTTCATTCTTTAGTCGACAAATGCAAAAAAACAGTACGTGCGAAAGAAGTGTACGAAATATACAAACTATATATTTGATATGAACATTCGCGAGGAGGTTGCTTGTCCATTTTATCATGAAGTTAGACTGTATTCTTACAATTAATTAAAAAAAAATTTTAAAAATAAAAAAAGAAATTATTCTTATTCATCAAGAATATATGTTAAGAGGATTTACAAGTATATACATAATTTATTTACTTATAATTTTTTCGGTGTACAACTTTCATTCGAAACATTTTTTTTAAATCAATTTTTTCTCTAAAAATTATCTAATTATTGGATCCTTTGAAAAGTTCTGAAAATGTTTGTTATCTGTCGAATTTGGATGAGCAGTACGTGGGCCGAGGCTATTGTTTAAGAGTTTATTTTATAAAGGGTACTTTGCTTTTTCAAGCAATAGATGGAAATACTGGAATGCCAAATTATCTACATTACAGATGTACAAAAAATCTTTCGAATTGACTGAACGGAATACAAAATTTTTTTACAGAGAGTTATAATAAAATTAACAGGTGCTGTGTAGTAAAAATACTTTATATTAAATCTTTATACTAAAATCGAAAAAAGGTTAAAAACTTACTTGAATTCTTTTTTATTTTAGTATATAGTCTATTCCACCTCCTAATTTTGCGTCGATAATTATTGGTCACTCCAATATTCTCTTAATTGTTGGTAGAACAGTGTCAATAAATTTTTGTTTTAGTTCCTAAAATATTCTCAGAACTTTTCGGATAATCTAATAGATTAAAATAAATTACCCTCTCTTTCTTTATATAACCGTGCGTGTGTGTATGTGTTATGTGTATGTATGTGTGCGTATGCATTTATGTTTCTATTTTTATTAATATTTATAATTGTGTTGTTTACATTGTCACGGTGTATCTTTTTAAGACGCGTGCGAGTTCGCGCGATACCCAAATCAAAACTGAAGAACCTCCGCGGAAAGCGCGGAGGGAAACCGTCTACGGACATCTCCCTCTTATAAATGGACGGTGATTGACGAAGCACGAAGATTGGGCGCCAGACGCGCACAAGATTACGTCAATTCACAAATTTCTAATAATCGAAATTATTTTCCTCCAAACGCGTCAAACTATCTTACCAAACGCTAAGACCGTCGCGCGTTACTTGCGCGAGGATCGGCTAGCTCAATCTTATGATAGAGGAGCGTGGCGAAGATCAAGGCTAATTGCATAGGACTGATAAGACTGATAATATAGGACGCGGTAATATATTTCTTATTAACGACGAATAAGCAAGGAAGATACAAAGAAAAAATGGCTAATTTATCGAATCGGGAACTCTCCTGCAAGGTAAAGGTCATTGAAGGGGAGTCCCCTATTCGCTACATTTATCAAAAAAACGAATTGAAATAGTAAAATAAAAAGTAGTAAAATTCACGATGTCGAACGCATAAAAATAAGAGCTTGGCAAAAATCGTCAACTAGAGTCCCTATATTGCCCTATAAATACAGTCTAGCTAAGTAGCTACTCAATGTAATTGTTTTCATTGGTCAATTCTAAATCCCGTCAGGTAGTATCAATTAAAATGTAACACACAATTAAAAAAACATACATTCCATAGATTTACATTATGCAGATAAGGTGCGTTCCGAAATACGTAAGAAGCGCATAATGCATCTTTGTTGTTCACCGAAGGATAAAATGAT